TTTTTCCTAAGTGTTATTAATTTTATATTATAAATACTAACGCTAAATTTAAAAATTTCTAGGATCTAGGAATTAGTGAATGCCAGTTAAACAGTGAGAATAGTGATAATAACAAAGTAAGAATTAATTTTCAATACATAATTAATTGTAAAGCCGTATCTAAATTATTTTACATTTTAAAGGTCAATGAACCTGTAAATGAATCAATGGTAAGCTCTTCGAAAACCCGGCCGACAACTCAATAGAAATGATTATCGACTAAATTCTCATTTACTTTTGTGTTTTTATCAATCGTTCCAATTATTAATAATCAGGTAAATTTTCAATTAACATTAGAAACTCGGCAATTTTTTAATTTTTTAACCTTAAATATTTAAATTATTTTCTACTATTAAAAGAGTGATATTGAAAATGTCGAAAATGAAAGAACTTCTATAATTAATGAACCTAATATTGGATCAGGTGTTGTACCTTTTGTTTTTGTTAATGATCCTATTCCAGTAAGAGTTTTAATAAATACATAATTGCACTGTTTCATAATATGAGATTTTTAAATAGTTCTAATTATATTTTTTTTAAACAGGAATTTTTTGTTGATAAAATTAAGGAACCAAGAAGTAAGAATTTAAATAAAATTTTCAGTGCGATTATTATTAATTATTTCTAACAGCTTGAAACTACCCAGCTTCAAACTATCCAGCTTCAAATGATTCTATTTTGGTATGTAGTATTATCTAAACTTTTGATTTTACAAATATTAAACACTAATATATAATTAAAATCTAAAGGTTGAAGATAATGATTTAGATGAAGAAATCGAAGAACAAGAAAATTTGGTTCGAAAGCGCAAAATCAACCGAGATTATAAAGCATCAAAAAAAGCAAAAAAAAAAGATATTAATATTACAACTGAGCACAACAATGAAAGTTCAGTAAGTTTATCTATATTATAAGCTATCAAAAATATTGATTGTAAAAATTTCAGAAAATATTTAATAATAATGTTAATGCTATATTCTTAATTAAAGCATGGTGGTGAGCAAAATAATGATGTTGAAGTTATGTCAGATTTATCGAAAATAACATTGGAAAATAGCCAGGCTAACAATTTAATTGATGAAGTTAGATTGTTTATCTGGTTACATTATTATGTCCTAATAGTAAATGAATCTTTTCATTAAGATCGCACAGGTATGAAATGATTACTATGTTTATATTATTGAAAATAACGCAAAATTTTAATATAACGCTAATTTATACAAATTTTAAATACTTTTAGCAAGAGGATATCCTTAATAAAAGCCAAAAACTCTTCAATATTATATATTAATGTCTTATTCATTTATTTTTTAAAGACAACTATTAGAGTATCTTCAAATTCAAATGATTCAGAGTTTTCAGAATTAGATTATGATACTAATTTAGTACGTACTTTATAATTTGACCTGTTAAATATTCGCCGTCGAAGACAAATAAATTAAATCCAATCTTTTAATTTACTATACCTAAAAGAATATAAGTAGAAAGAAAAAGAAGTTTGATAAAAAAGGAAAAGGTAATATAATTTAGGTTTGAATTAGTCCGTAATAATGCTTAATGGCATTATTTCACATTTTGGCCGGAATTAAGCTTAATTTAGGCCAAAATGTGAAATTATACCCATGGGCGGGCGTTATATGGTTTTAATAATTTAATAGCTAATTTTTTTTATTTTGCATATAATAATTATAGAGCAAGATACGAATTACAAGAATCGTACATCTGCGTATGTTGACGAGTTAAGTAATAGCGAACCAGTTAATGATGATACTTTAGTAAGTGTATAATTTCATATTTAAATTAACAATCGTTTAGTACTCATGTTAATATAATTTTTTATTTAAAATTTTTATTTATGTCCTAAAGCATACACTAAATAGAGAAAAGTAGCTAAGACTTCAAGAATGATTTTTAATCATAATAATGAAATGCTATATATTAACTTTTAATTAAATATAGATAATGAAGATTCTGTAAATGTTAATTCTGGTATGACGGCTAGTTTTTTGGTTATTATTGCTTTTCAAATTATACCGTACCAGTATACGGATTGAAACTTAAAATTCCACTATTCTCATTAACTAATAAATCTTAAAGAACAACGAATAGAACAATCGACGAAAAGCAATTATCCAGAATCAAAATTACTGGGTATGTTAATATTTTATGGAATCAAATTTTTTTTCAAACAATTAAACTTACATATTCTTGATTGTGCGATTAGAATTTGTAGATTTATTGAAGAAAACAAGAAGAGAAAAGGGAACGTCAGAGAGTTTTAAGTCTCATGATCCAAGCAAAATATTTGAAATGTTTTCTCAGCCTATCAACAATTACTTTAATGAGGAAGTCTTCGAAGGGTTAATGGAATCCGAACAACTCCCAAAGAAAATGGAGGATATTCAAAGCTGCTCTAAATATCTAAAAATTTGGGATTCACATTACAATAATTGTAAAAGATTAATCGGAATTCAGGATTATAAAATGTTGAAATTAACTTATTCATTAACTAAAGTATTTTTTAACATGCTAAAGATTTGTTATCAGGAACAAGTCAAAGATACATCATTAGCAAAAAACTCTGATCATTAGAAGGGGAAGGATATTAAATCATGAATGAACAAACTCTGGGATATAAATTCGCGTTATATTAAAATTTTGCGTTATTTTCAATAATATAAACATAGTAATCATTTCATACCTGT